GTGCTGATGAGTGCCAGGTGGAAGCTGATACTAGATAAATAAAATCGGGTTGCATTTCAAATGTGTTTATAAGTGAGGGTGACTCCCCATGAGAAAACGTAGATGGAAATTGTTTTGGCCTTGGTCTACGAATTTGTGGAGAGAAAGACTTTCAGGAACAAGATGAGTTAAGGAAATGATCCAGAAGGATGTAAATACTGATTTGGGGGAAGGAGTCCTATAGGAGAAGGGCTTCAGGAGAGCCCAGCTGACAGTAGTTTTGTTATTTGAACAGTGCTTTCAACATTAAATGCAACCACAGCTGGTTGAAGCTTCAGTAAGTAGTTTACCAGTTGTAGACTTACCCTGCTGGTTTACAGGAGGGTGATGGAAGTGAAGTTGGTGAGGTGCTGCCGAGATCAGGTTGGCCCTGTCATAGGTTTGCAAATAAAATACAAATGCAAAGTAACACAAAGTAGCTAATGTAACTCTTGGCACTTCAGGTTTTTTTCCCCTGTTTGGTAACATTTGTTGCTTTTTGAAGATGGGGCTTCCTAAGGGATAGTCAACCTCCCTTTCTTTAAAAGGGGGTAGTTTAATAGGTTTACTAGTTAAACCTGTCACGTTCTGCAGCTTCTTGAGTGTTTCTGAGCTACGGTTCTTCTCTTGCTTAAAAAAACCCTTATTTTAATATTTCTCCTTGTCAAGACAAAATGGGGTAACAGTCAGCTGTTTTGTCCTTTGATTGTAGAGACTTGTGTATTTGCATAGCCTGAGTTTGAGAAAGAGCAGTCTCCACCATGTGTAAATAGGTTCACTTTGGTGTTACGTGTCTTGCCAGCATTGTAAAAGATGTTACATCTCTTCATCAAAATAATTTTGTCTTTAGAAGCTAATGGAGGAAACTAGATGAAATTCCATGAAGTTGTCACAGTTTTTCTCTTGAACCATGTAATGGATACATATATTGCTTTTGGTTTTCTATTTCTCCAAGTACAGTGAGCAGCAGTCACAATTTCTCTGGGTTTTGTATAGTACTTGGACTTTCCCATTTATGATTCACTTATCAGAAGATCAAATAGTGAATGATAAATTATTGGTCAAATGTAAGATGAAAGACCAAATTACTCACATACTTCAATTAACATAAAAGCCCTGGAAGTAAAACAAAAATATGTTGTTCCCAATATATATATCACTTTCTCAAGCATCTACATACTTTCAGAATCTTTTGTAAAAAGGGAAGCCTCCAAAATTAGCAGCCAGAGCAAGATGGTATTGCATAGGAACACTAAGGGCTTAGCACAGACATGTACTAACAAAGGTGTTTCATATGTTGTCATCCACAGCACATGGCCATCCAGCCTAATTGGGGTACTAATGAAAAGACTGTAAAATTAGAAATGATATCTATCCAGTTGGTCAGAACCATCTTATATACTTGGGATCTTACAAAAGGAACATAGCAGTCATTTTAAAATAAGAACGACCAGTTGCTGCCTATAGAAATTCTGTTAGATACGACAGAATTAATTCAACCACTTCTCAGATCTACTATGTAATGATACAGTGATGGTTTGAAAGAGAAGGTTGAACTTGAAATAAAAAAAATAAAATAATTCTGGCCTCTTCAGCTGGTAAAGTAGAAACTTTGGGAAGTGCAGATGAGGGTTTTTCCTATATATTTTGACACTGTTAAATGGATCATAAGGTATTTGTGTACAACTGGATCTGTGAGCAAAGTAAAAAATAACATTTCTTAGGATTTGACTGCTGAGTAGAAATATACAGACTTATTTGTGCAAATGGTATGTGGATGATGATTAAAATATGAAAAGAGGGTAATGATCAGGGTGTGGCATCTTAAATGTGTAATAGAAAAAAATTTTAAAAATCAAACCAGAAGGAAGGGTAAAGTTGGTGTAGCAGAAATCTGCTACTTTTAGGACAAGTGTACTTTTCTTAACAGATTCCTTCACAGGAACTTTCCATGTAGAGATGAATGTTTTTTTGACATGAAATTCTAGAACTTCTTTAGCTGTTTTGCAAATTGCTATAATTCCTGTGCTTTCTTAGAGTACTACTAGCGTGGCATAATGATTTTAATAATAACTATGTGTTAAGCATACAGCTTTCAATCTGCCATTAATGAAATGTCTGTCCATTTCATTAATTGCATCTGCTTCAGTGGCTTGTATAAAGATTTTAGTAAGAGGCAACGGGTTCAGAGATGTGTGTAAGTGAAGTACTAGAAATCTGATAACATTAAAAGAATGGTTAGCTTCAGGAAACATCCTGAAAGATCACCACATCGGCAAACGTTCAGGATTACAGTGCAATTAATCTTCGTGGTTCGACAGTAAAATCTTTATTCACATTACTTCAAAGTCGTCTTTTTGTCTATAACTGATTTCCAGAAGCGTGTCAGTGCATACGTACTGAGCTTTTCTTAAAGGGCCTTTGCGTTCCTTGAATGATAGCAATGGTTTGTGAGTTAAGTGGCTGTATTAAATCCAGAAAGGCAAAATGTAAGGTTCTGGAGACAAAATACTGAGCTCACATATCACTCAGTTTACTTTGAGTGATTCAAAATCAAAAAGTAATTTAATTCAGTCCTTACAGGAAACATAAGCGTCTGGGACATCTGATTAACTCATTTCCTTGTCTAATACCTACGTCTTACAGCTTCAACTTTCCCACATCAAAGAAAAGTTCTTGGCATGTGCCGATCCTCAGGACTGAAGTGGAAAGAACCTGAACTTCTGAGGAAGGTTCTCAAGTACAATATTATTTATATAGGAGTTTCAGCTAGCTCATGCTCCAGGGAAGAGAAGCTGCCCCTATCACTGCTTTAATCATCCTTTCTTCAGTCAGATCAGATCAGCTTTTCTTAAGTCAGATCAGTTCTTTACAAGCTGCTTCATGCATTGGATTTAGTTAAGGTAGACTTCTTTATTTAATGTAGAGTTCTTACATGCATAGCCTGCTTAGCAGGTGAACAGCTGTATTGTCTAGTTAGTTCAGATTTCTAGAGGATTTAAATGTTTTTATATCCATTTCCCCAGGTTTACTATATAGCATGGTATAAAAAAGAAACGCATAGAAATGGCACTAGTTAAAGTGAATACCTGTTTCCAGTTAATTCATTCTCCTTTTTGCTGGATTCAGTGAGACAATGACTGAACGCTTTGAAGCAGAAATATCAGATTAATTGTGGAAACAGAAATTAAGCCTCCCCACCCCCCCTCCACCCCCCGTAGTTTCTTTCAGAAAGAATAAGAGTAGACCAGTATTGGGAGAGCAGTGGGTGAGGAGAAACTGCAGAGTTTTAGTACACTTAAAATAAACTTGGAAAAATGTTCTTTTCTGAACAGTGCAAGATAACTTTTTTGGTTTGCAGTCTTAACATGTGATGCCAGGTGTGAGTTTTCAACAGGCAGGTATGTGTGATGGCTTTACTTTGTCTGCCCCTTTGAATTGTGCTTGTGTGTATAAAAAAAACTACACAGGCACACACATACTATATGAATTCTTCATTAATCAGAACAATTCTGTGAATTAAATAATATCCTCAATTTTTAGAGGGGGAGGTGCAGAACAGATTGTAGAGGAGAAAAGTTAAATGCTTGAGGGTAAGTGGACAAGCATTGTAGCAAGTCTGTGAGTGTTTTTTGAAGTCTGTACCTTCACAGCCGATGAAACACTGAACAGCTCTCTGCCATGTGTCTAGCAAAGGCAAAGACAAAGATACCTTTCCTTCATCAAGAGTGCCTTGCAAACTGAAAAGCATGAAGTAATATTTCTAATAAGTAACCTTGTGCTGCTTTCTTCTGCAAAGGCAGTTTACTAGAAAATAAAATCCATAGAAAACAGGGAGCAACTTCTTCGTCCTACATAAACTGATATCTGAACGTTTAAACTGGAAAAGTACAAAAACTAGCTGAATGAGAAAAGCCTGCAAGCCCTTTGGAAGAAAATACCACAGCTCTACCATGCATTGGTTCATATTAAATATAGTTATAGTGTATTTTATTTCAGCAAATAGAAGGTGGAAAAACAACTCAATAGAAGCAAGAACAACCAAGAACACACAAAAGTCAAACACATTATTTATGTGCCCAAAAGCTTAGAAGATTGGCTGCTGAGGTACCATTTTTCTACAGAAATACAAAAATATAAAAAGTAGTATTAACATAAAAAAAGCAAAAACTAAAACTTCGGTAGATCAGCTTTTCAACTGAATGCCTCTTGAGTGGATTGAATGTTGTGTGTTGGGGTAAAATTGGAACTGACTTGGTAAAGACCAAGAGAATGTAGTAATCATGAGACTCAGGTTCTTCATTTAGGTTTGAATTTAAAAAGGCAGAGAAGAATGTGCTTTGAGTTTTGAGATAGATAATGGCTGGATCTATACTGCAAAAGTACAGCAAACCTAGTCTCTATCATTGGTAAAGACCAGGCCAGCTTGGGAAGGGCTGTCACTGTAATCGTGAAGGATCATCTGCTTCATGGTTACATTTTTATGATGAATGTGTAATGAACTCATTCTAATGTTACCCCCCATTTTACAATAACCTGCATTTAGACTGAAGTAGGAGAACTCTTGACACGGTCCTCTGATCAAGAACTTCTCGTACGGCGCCTGAGAAGGGATGGTGTGAGGTTGAGGCAGTGTGGGACAGGATCTGAGAGCGCTTTTTGTGTGTGAGCGCTGAATCATCTGCAAGGAAGTACTTCGATGTGTGGGTTTAGAGAATGCCTTATGTCCACGCGGAAGAGACGAGAAGTTAAACAGCATGAGGATAATGGAGAGGATATTTTGTTAATGTGAGGAAGGGAAGGAAATACTTTAAAATGCTCTTAAGTTCACTTATGTTGGCTTTCCTACATCTTGTGTGTTTTGCTATTTACAGCTGTTGTAGCTTAATACCTGCATGTATGTAAAAAAAAGAAAAAAGCAACCAAACAAAACCATACAGAAAAGTATCAGGGAATAAAACTGTGTTTGTTTATTTCAACAGAATGCTGAAATTTCGGTATTTGAAGTGAACATTCGTTTTGTCGGTGGACTGCTTTCAGCTTATTATCTTTCAGGAGAAGAGGTAAGATATTTCCACACAGTTTATCTGCAATATCATAATCTATACAAGTAGGTAACTTTTAGTTTAATAATATCATTTATCTGAAATAAACTTGTTTAGAACTTTGAAAATGGCTTGTACAACAGACACCTGTCCAATGCGTTTTCTTGCTTCTATTACTGTTGCTTTGCATAAGTCTTAAAACTGTTACTTCATGCAAGTGTTAAATGATTTTTTTTTTTCTTTTTTTCTGAGTTGAAACAGTACATTCTTACCAGGCTTTGTGCTGGAGTGTGTAATTATGTAGTTCCTATGCCATGGTAGTGGTAGATTTGGTGCATCAGCTTCCTGCTTCACAAATTGATTTCAAGCATATGCTTTAACTCCTATAAACTACACTTCTGTCGGCCTTCCTGAACCTGAATCTTCAACTCACATGGAAAAGACATGCTAAGAACGAAAAGATACCTGGTAAACCTATACATGTGAATGTCTTTAAAGCATTAATATCCTATTAATTTCTATTGCCTGTCATGGTTTCTGGAGAGGGTGAAGAAGCAATTTCATCTAAGAGCTTTGACTAATGCAATTATTTCTGTAATATATTTGGAGAAGGCTATACTAAGTCACAGGTACTGTGATATTTTAAATTTTTAGCTTGGCACTTGAAAAGTCTTTAATCTTATTAGTTTAAATTCTTGTTCCTGTCTCTGGATTATAATAGTATTTTACTGTAGGATTAACACAAGTTAATACTCTCTAACTGTAAGTTGAATTTATCATAGGATTTCTTTAAATCCAAAGCAATGACTGGTGGAAACTCCACAAAACCCTGAAGATGTGTAATTTTCTTTAACATGTAAATTTCCCAAATACTGGGTAAAGCTCTGTTTTGAAACTGTCACTTTAAAGTAACTTAAATGTCGGGTTTTGTTAAAATTTATCATTATGTTAAAGCTGTCTTAGCAGGTACTATTGGGTCATGTACCTGACAAAGCAGTTATAAGGAGACAATGTTCCTCCGACATTCTTGTCTTAAGCAGACTTACCTGTTTATTTCCCATGGTCATGTCCTGAGCATAGGTGGTACTGAAAAGCCATTAATGTTTTAAAATACACAATTTTTTGTATTTTAACTGTCTTATAATTTTCTGGAAAAAGAAAAATCACCCTTAGACCCATTTCAAATTCATGCTTAACAGTAATGAAAAAAATGGAGAGGTGCTTGGTAGCTGGTTTCTTGATCTTTATTAAATATTGTTTTACTTAATGTTTCATCTCCAACTCTTGAAGGAAATCACTTGTCCTCCTACAGTAACTCAGCAACCAGAAATAAACATATCTAAGGGTGTCTAGAATTGAAAGCTTTTCCTTCTGCAATTAAATCTTTCACTGCAGATCTACTTCTTGCAAACAAGAGTGAACTTTTCCAGTAATAACCTATTGCTACATTTTAATTAACTGGTTCTGACAGAAGCAGGGGATGCTTCTTGGCAGACAGCGAGCTGGTAGAGGAGCACATATGAGCCTTTACATCAGGTGGCCATTGTCTGCCAAGAAATGCCTGAACCATTTGTGATCAGTGCCGTTGATTTCATATATATGTTGATGGTTTATATCTTGTGTCGGTTAGCGTGCAGTCTCACTTTCAATCAGTGCATATAGTTTCTCCTAAATAACACCTAGTCATTGCTTCTCAACCATTCCTTCATCTCTAGAGAGGCAGTTTTACCACCACCTCTTGGACTAGATTGGTCGCAACACTGGTGTTCAAATAAAACTCTTGTACAAATGTGATGAGGAAACATTTAAAAGAAAGTGTTTCACACAATGGATAATTAAGAGGAACTCTTTGCAGTGGAATATTGGTGATACTGGATGCTAGTGTCCATGCTAAAAATGGATGGAGTCATTAATGAAAGTAAAACTTGCTCCTAAACTCAAAGATGACATGTATGATTAAGGAGGGTCCTGAGCTCTTGCAGGCTGGGAAGGGCACTGCCCATGCTTGTGGCTGGTTTTCATACTCTTTGATAAACATTTGCTGTCCAAGACAGTGATGTTCCTAAACCAACAGTTGTCCTAGTGGCTTAGACAGTGCAACTCGGCGTGCTCTGCCTTTATCAGATTTGGGGAAACCTCCCGCTTCATCTCCTAAATGCAAGATGCTGAAGCCATGGCCAGCTGCTTTCCGTGGGAGGAGCAGGATGCAGCCCTTCGGGGGACGGAGCTGCGGTGCAGCGGTGTGAGATTTCCTATCTTGTGTGGGTCTGTCTTCCACTGGTGCTGCTGACAGGTGTGGGAAGAACTGAGGGCCCCAGAGGCTGGCTGCCACCATAGAAAATACAACTTTAATCATATAATAATAGAATGTTCGTCCATTATATTAGTGGGCGTTCTGAAAGGGGTGGAAAACCTGTGTGCAGGCTGTTTGGAGGATTAAGCTTTCTCAGTTAAAAGCTCATTTAATTCTTTGTCAGATTAACTATTTAAAAATCTTATATATGCTGTGCTCACTTGTCAATATCCTAATTAAAGAAAGCTATGTTTCAGTAAAAAGGGTGACGGAAATAATTATTGTTTGTACTGCAGAATTACATTTCCATGGGTAATGATCCAAAGCTGCAACACATTGTATGTTCCGTAATCATTTGTAAGTCTAACTAATCATGATTAAGGAATATCCTATCATACTGAGTACTTCCTAAAACATCCTGCTCACTTAATAGTTCATTTAGATAAAGGCACCAATGTGAATAATTCTAAAAACGAACAAATTGAATGCTTTGTCTCTTGGTAACTGTGTGTGGTGCTCGCTTGCAAATAGAGCTATGAGATGCATTCTATTAAAGTTCCTACAATTTCTGCCTTACCTGAATTCATATGAAATACCAAAGAGTGTTAGAAGAGTGTCATACACTTTGTCACATCTTTTTTTTATTTTATGATTGCTATTTAAACCCAAGCTAGAAAGAATTCCAGTCAAATATCAAACTTCATTTGTAAAACAGCTACAAATGCCAGAAAACTTCAAGATGAGTAACTTTTTTAAGGACTGCTCTGGGTTTTTTTTTGTTTGGGGGTTTGGTGGGTTTTTGTTTGTTTGTTTTTTGAAGTCCCTCATAGTAATATTGCGTGTGAATGCTTCCATGGTATTTTTCCATGAGTCAGTGGCTGTAAGGGATTACTAAAAGTAAACCTGGGTCCTTTAAAGCACTGATAGTGTTGATTATTTTGTTGTTGTTTGTATGAAAGCATCTGGAGGAGCCTGTAATATGGTAAATTTAACCCATAGGAACAGGACAGATTTTTTTGCAAACTTTCTTGATCGTTTTGCTTAAATTAAACCTGAATTCATGAGTGGACGTGCGATTCGTTTTCTAAGCAACTTGGTATGCAACCTTTTTTGGTTTTGTACTGGAAAATCACATCTAGAAAGGGAGAGATTTGTTTTACAACTGCTTTGCTGTACTTACCAGAATTTTACATCAGACTAGTATACCAAGGGTCAGGAGTATTGTATGCCATAGGATCCCCTGTTCTGCAGACCCAGATAATTTTTTTTTTCTCTTGCTTAAAGCACACTTCCAAATGTAGTCATATAAGGAGATAATATGTTAGCTTTTGGAGGAGGACAACACTGTATCCTCTAACAGCAGCTAAGACCCTTTTGGAATTCATGGAGATGACAAACATTATTTCTGAGCACTGTAATCTTCACTGTTGGGAATAACTCTGATACTGGTACTGAAAGTCATGGTAAGTGTATGGCACTGCTTGTAGAGAATATACAAACCTAAATACTGATCTGACTAGCTCTTCTGGTTTACTGATAGGTGTTTCTTATAGGTACTACTAAAGTTTTGTAGTAAGGGGACTGTTTTACTTGAAGGTTGGTTTCACAGTCGGAATACATTGCATAGGCAGAAATGGAAGGAGCATTTAGCAATTGCTGTTTGTATGAGCAGCAAAAAAGTAAATCCAAAATGCTCTGAAGTGAATAAGGAGAACGTGAGTTTCAGATCCAGCTGGTAAGCTCCCAGATTCCTTCGAAGCTTTCCGTTTTTTGAATGGGATGAGTAATTTTTTTTTTTTTTTTCCCCCTAGAGTTAAAATATTTTGGATTCAGCAGCTGTTCTTCCTGCACAATATAACCTTCTCTTTTCTAGGACTAAAGATAGTTATCTTCACTGGAGGAAGACAAAATAAAGTTGATAATGATGTTCATATTGCCATTTCTATCCATGGCATGAAGCAGAAATGTAACAGGGTTTTTTGGTGGTTTTTTTTCCCTTACTTTGGCAGTATATATTCCTGTTTGAAGGAATTTATTCTGATCAGGATGAAGGAATAAAAAACCACAACAAACTATTCTTCATCATGATAAATGTTGGACTTTCTGAGTTTCATCTATTACTGTCTACCAACTGTTAATTAGAAGTAAAAAAGAAAAAAAGAAGGAAAAAAAATAGTGATGACATATCACCTAATTAGTTTATATCTGCATTTAGAATAGGAGTTACAGTGCCACTATTCAGCCTCACTTGATGATCTTGGCCTCCTGTCTGACTTCAGACCTAATCATTGCCGACTTAAAACAACCATCCATCAGTGATGGTACTGCTCTCTTACTAATGAGGAGCAGACATGAAATAATGATGCAGATGGTATTGATCTAGAGCTGCCTTTGCCAGGCTGACCACAAAACATTGCTGACTTCATATAATGCTGAGACATTCTCCAGAATTTAGCTGTAGCTATTTTTATCTGGCTCTCCCTCTCTTGTAGAAGTCTCCCTTCATAAAGAATATTTAAATTCCATAAATACAAAAAAATATAAGTCATTATTTAGCAATCTTGAATAGTAGGAGGATGAAGTTTTTCACCTATACAAAGGTATTGGCCTATTTCTGCAAATCAGGAATGTAAGTTCTAGTATAAGATGCCTTGGGGATCTTATCTCACCAGTGAGAGGATTGACCGCATGTTTTATCTCTCGCTTTTCACTTAACTTGACACTA